TGCTGAACCAGTCGATCATATTCTTCGTCAATGTTGTCAATGATGGCATCTTCCCATGTTGCCACAATAGTGCCAAACAGCTCCCAGTTGGTGGTCATTCTGGGAGTTCTCCTCTTAAACTTTGCAGCCCTTTCTCTCCGCTCCATAAAGTAGAATTTTGCACGAAGCAGACAGTGGTCTGATCCCATTTGGAATTTTGGGACAACAGCAACATCGGTCAGGAAAAACTGTTGATTGAATATGATGTGGTCAGTTTTGTTGTGGAACCATCCACCAGGAGACTCTCCAATGTTTAGATTTGGACTTCTGGAATTGTGAGGTACCATGGATGGTATGGTTGACATGATGAATTCAGACAATCTCTCACCATCTTTGTTCCATTCTAGGCCATAGGTCCCACAGAACCAGGTAATCGGAAATCTGTGACCTTGGACTCTAGGCTCAATGGGTCCAGGAAACAGAGGTCCTTTGACTGCTCCCACCAATCTCCTACAGCGACTCAGGGGTCAGACCCAGAAGCCCCACCCTACCGGTATCAGAAAATACCTCATCAGCCGACCTCCAATACCTCCACTACCTCCACTACTCAGCCACCGCCACACTTCAGGACGCTTTCATAAGACACTTAACACCCATCTTCCAAGATTACCACACCATATTTGATTGTGCTCAAATATGGTTTGAATCATGGGAACAACTGCAAGGGTGATTAAAGGCTGCCCTAAAAGCCTCTATCCCTCTCGGAGAGCTTGGTAAGCTACCGAGAGAATCTTGCCCACATGGCAGAGCCTGGCAAGCTATGTGTGGCATATTTAATATGCCAAAAATAGTAAATACAATAGGCCTCATTCCCCTGACCCTGAAAGAGCCACAAATATGGCAGCGTTAAGAAGGATGAGGAAGGAGAGGCTGATAAAATCTCAAGGCTGAACTAGGCTACAAAACAAAGAAGGACTAAAATGACTGTCTGTACTTTCAATGCACATACACTGACATCAGATTGCATGCATCAAGGACCTGATGGTCCAAGCGGGAAAGATCAAGTATGACATCATTGATCTGACCTAGATGAGAAGGCATCAATCATATTATGCCATTTTTGACACTGAAGAAGAACTATTCCTTGGAACATGCAACAAAAGAGGTGTCAGTGTCCTTGTCAGCACAAACTTGGACATGACCATCGATTCATTCAAATGCTAGCAACCCAAATCGGACGATTACACTTGAATAGATGTGTCTCACTGCCAGCACTTTCTATATTCATTGTCTACGTATCAACATCCAATTATGATGAAGAAGAAATTGAAGTTCTACATGGAGCTGGAGAAGTTCTATAAAGAAGACCACACCTTCTATAAGATCACTGTCAGTGATTTTAATCTCAAGATAGGACTGAGAAATCAGCCCAAGAACTCCACATCGGGATCCATGGCTAGAATTCATAAGCTAGAATTAGAAAATTAAAGGTACTAAAGTGAATCTAGTGAGGCTAAGGTTATGTGAATTTAATTATTTATTTATTTTTTCTCAATGGAAACCAATTTAGTTATTGGTGATTAGCAGAAGTAACAGTATGGGCAGGAGATTAAGCCACTAAGGTGAGAGCTAAAGAAAAGGGAACATTAGCTTGAATGAGGGAGCAGGTGACCCTGACTATGTTTCAAACTGAGCCACAAGCATGTCTGATTTTCAAGCACTACTATCCTGGAACTACAAAAATTAGTATAACTTTCTTCCTTTGAAAGTTGGAACAAATCATTAACTTCAATATTCGATTTTTACAAATAGAAGGTAATGAGCAACATGGTTTTGTGAAGACCTAGTAAAGTCTGACTAATCTAATTTGCTCTCATAGTAGAATGACAAATCAACTAATTGAGAAAAAAATGGCTGGAGGTGCTTTGACTTCACAATTATTTTACTTTTAAAACGTAATACTTTTAAAGTATTTTATTTTTGTAGGATTTCTTGAAGCCAAATTTTACAGGGAGGTATCAGCCAAGTAACTATTTAAATCATAGTCACAGGAGTTGACCTCTCCTGTATGTTCTGTTATTTTTATCTCAACTAGAAATAGGCACTCCTATTTAATTCTCAGCTTATGTAGTCATTTGTATCATGGAGGTTTTAAGGATAATAAAGAACAGAATGTGTAAAGAAATTATTAAATTTTGATTTGTTTGGCTCAAGATTTTGTTGCAAAAACTATTTTAATATGCTAGCATAATGCTTTCCAAAGTGGGTGATAAAGTCTCTTACTCACCTGCAAGGTCAGTCTCTGAAACAATCCAGGGGGATTTTCTGCTTAAAAAATTAGATTTCTAGGGATGGGTTGGGGTGGGGGGAGGGAGACTAGGGAACTGAATGTTGGTTTTTGTTTTTGAAGTCTCTGGTCTCACATCAAAATATGTCAAAAATTGTATTTTCAGTATCCCCTAAAGAAAGTTTTACTTCCTCTTTGAGACCCAAAAAAGATACTTAAAATCATCTTTAGAGTTTCTCTCATTTATTTTAAACACTATTTTTCTAACAGAACTACTAGAATACTCTAGATAATTTTGTATTTGTTCCTTTAACATTTACTCAGAAGCCAGATTGCCCAAAACACAGAATATTATTGTCTTTTTTTGACTGAATTCCAAACAATTACATTCGTTGCAATGAGTGCCAAGAATAAACTAGTGGGATAATTGATTAGTCCACATTGATTGTGTGCCTATGCATTATTAATTACTGGTAGGCTCTGGGTATACAACCATGAGCTTAAATTCATAAAAAGTCTGCCCTTATGCTATACATGTGCTAATTGAGGTGACAAACAATTAAATGAACAATATTTAGTTACCATTGAAGGGTACTATATTGTATTGTTACCAATACAATAAGTTCTCAGAACTTGCTGATAATAATACAACAAGTTCTCAGAAAGTGGGACCTTAAAAGATGAATAGACTGGAGAGATAGCTCAGCATTCTGGGGTGCCTGTTTCACAGCAGGAAACCTACTTTAGAGTCAGGACACCACATGGTCCCCTTAATCTTGAGTCGTTCCAGGATCGAATCCCAGCACTGAACCAGGAATAGCCCCAGAGCACTTGGTCCCTGCCCACCCAAAGATATAAGAAATAGTTTCTTGGACAATATCAGGCTATTTTTTTCTCATCAATACAAATGGCACTGAATATAAGAAGGTAATTGGAGGTCCTATAGTATGTGGCAGAAGAATATAAACTAGTATAATAGTTTGGCAGAAGATTCAGAAACATTTTTTGAGCAGAAATAGTATAAACTGTGTCTTGAAGGATAAGTAGAAGTTATCTAACGCAATGGAGGCTTTGGTTTAGCAAGAAGTCACAACCATCCTGGAGGTTTGAAAAGAGTAGGAACAGATTTATTAGCATTAAAAATCAGTTCCCTGTGTCTTGGTGGCAGGACAAGTGGCAAGACTGAGGGCAGAAAAGTAAGTGGTAAAGAACCTGAGTCAGTCAGTCTGAAAAATGAGACTTCATACAAATATCAAAAGTGAGCTACTAAAAGATTTAAAGCTGGGAATCCATATGATTATCATTGCATTATGTCCATGGTAATATTAAAAGGGAATTTTTGTATTTGTGTTTTTCTTTGCCTAATCCTTAAAAGTATAAGAGCTGTTAGGGGTGGATTTTCAAAAGTGATCTCAGACAAGGGATCTTGTGACCTTTAATTGACCATAAAAAAAGAAGACAGAGACACTGATATATAAAAGTAAGAGGTTGGAGAGGGAATTTATGTGGAAAGAATCAATTTGTAACATGTATCAAGACTGGCTTTGAGAGATAGGTGGGTTCCTAGAGCTTATTTCCATAACTTTATACACATTTTTCACAGTTTGGGGAATGTGGCTCTGAGAAGGTAGAGGATAAATTCCAAGTTACAGTAGCAGCCTCTAACAGCTTACCTATAAACTATGGGGTGACGTGGGTTGTGACAGGTACGTAAGTACAGTTTCACCCAGATGTGGTTCAGAGACTGAGTGATGTTTCTAAAGGGATTTTATCTATTCTGATGTCCAAAGATGGGTCACTAATAAGCAGAGACTGAAGGAGCCTATGTCACTGATCTTGTAGAAGCTATGATGTCTCTTCAGTTCATTTATAAAGATATATTCGCATGTCACCTAACAATTTAATTAGGGTGCTTACAGTGTTATCTAATGCAAGGTTGGAAAAAAATAGTAACAGTGATTCCACAGGCTGAAAATCTTATCTGTGTATCATTCTTGTGAAGTTATGTCTGCCCTGATGTGCTAGTTTTTATTAAAATATTAATTTATATATGTGTTCTTATATAATAGACGACACATAAAACAGAGATGAAACAGATAATATTTATGTCAACATCTTGGTTAAACTGCAACCTTGCAATGGAGAGTCAAAATTTATACTTGACCACCAATCAAAATTAGTAATGCTATTAAGATGAATGAGATTTATTTTCCTGCATTTTATTTTGTTTTCCTCTAGTGGTCATTTTCTATTTATTTACTTGAGCATTCATTTGGAGGCTTTCTAGTCATTATTCAAGAGCATTACTGATGTGAAAAACAAGACTCTCAGATCTGGTGAATCTTTCAAAGTGTCAGAGCACTTTTATCTTTGGAGTCAGACTGCCACTTATTGGTGATGTGCCCTTGGACAACTCAAAGACTTCTGTGTGCTTCTATCTCTTTATTACTAAGATTCAACAAACAACAACAACAACAACAACCACAACAAAACACATCAGTTACCTCATAGGGTTCTGTGGGAATCCTGCCTAGAACACAGTAAATGCTGTATAACTTTTAGTCAGGATGGTAATGAAAAGATAGTAATGAAAAGATGGAGCTGGGAAGGAGAGGTAGAAGTAAACATTTGTGAGTACTAGCATGACCCTTGCCTTACATTTATTCTGGGTTTTAGTTATACTTAGATTGCTAAACTGGATATTGTTTAAGACTGAAGTTTCTAAAGCAACAGAATCGCTTCTCAGCCTTTTGGCTAAGATCAAGTGTAGTATCTAAAGTAACAGATCAGCTTTAATCATTTTTAAATAACTGATTTTGAGTATTTAGGTAGAAGGAAGGTAATTTAGTTTTTCCTAACTTTACCAGAGAATAATCACTATTACACCTGACATTTCTGATAAGTCAGGCTAACCCGTTCATTTTCTCAAAATACGAAGTCGGTTAATATTGATAATCCCTTTAAAATCTCCCAACCACTTTCTAGGAATTAAGTCTAAGACTCTGGCATATAAATTCCCTTAAAAAAATTGGGTTCAACCTCACTTTCTAGTTTAATTTTCTCCGCTGTCCCTCACAATCCAAGTTTATCACTACTCTTTGAAAGCACCAAAGTTTTCACTTTTGTCCTTAAAGCTTTGTCTAAACTCTTCCTCTGACAAGAATTTTGTAACCTACATTCTTTTTTTAAATTTTTTTTATTATTAGTGAAACACCATGAGGTACAGTTGTAGATTTACAAATTTTTGTGCTTGGATCTCGGTCATACCACGATCAAATACCCATCCCTCCACCAGTGCCCATTTTCCACCACCAGGATAATATCCCTCCCCCCCATCCCTCCATCCCCCCATCCCCCCTGCCACTGTGGCAGGACATTCCCTTTTGTTCTCTCTCTCCCTTTGGGTGTTGTGATCAGCAAAAGAGGCATTGAGTGGTGAACATGTTCAGTCCAGTCTACTTTCAACCTGCATCTCCCCTCCTGGGAGGATCCTCCAAACACCCCCCATTTGGTGTTCCCTTTTCTATCTGAACTGTCCTTTCCCCTAGAATACCCGGCTGGCCTCTAAGCTATGGAGTAATCCTCCTGGTGTTGATCTCAGCTATTCTTGAGTATTAATTTCATATTTTGTTATTTTATATCCCCCAGATGAATGCAATCTTTCTATGTCTATCCCTCTCTTTCTGACTCATTTCGCTTAGCATGATACTTTCCATATTGTACCACTTGTATGTAAAGTTCATAACTTCATCTTTTCTTAGAGCTACATAGTACTCCATTGTGTAGATGTACCAAAGTTTCTTTAACCAGTCATCTGTTCTTGGGCACTCAGTGACCTACACTCTTTATCTTCTAGATTGCCTCCCTTTTTCTGCCCCCAGATTTGCTTCCTTGAATCTCTTTTCACACGAAACGTGATTGATATTTGGAAAATGCAAATGAACCATTCTCATCCCTGATGAAATTTATTTCATAGCTACTAGTTGCTGATGTCCAAGGAACAAAAGTCACTATCCTTAATATTCTTTATATTTTTTCACCTTACCTTTGCTTTCATGCCTCACAGTGTGCTGCATCACTCTAGCCCTTGGAGATGCTTTTCCTTTCATTTCTTAGGGTTCCCTTGTTTTCTGCACAGATCCTGGGGATGGGGAAAAATGTGAATTTTTAGGCTCCCAGTTATTAGCTAATATACACTAACTCTAAGTTTAATTTTATCTTAACAGCAAATATCTGTTATATTAATGTATCCTAAGTATATCTTAGGGTAAAAAACATTTGTTGTTTATCAAAATTTAGATTTAAGTTGGGAGCCTACATTTTTATTTGTTACGATTAGCAAGCCTATTTCTATTTGGTTAAACCTTCTTAGAACTAAATTGTTTGTTCACTTAACATTCAGAATTTGGGCTATTACCACAGCATATTGAAACTATTGCTTGTTTGTTTTTGTCTACTAGATATTTTGTATTGACAACAAAAGTTACACATTTATCATCGTGTTCTCATAGTTATCACTAGTGAAAGTGTCTGAATCTAGGGATTAACACCTTTACATTTTTTTATTCTAAAACTATGATTAGCCAAGTTCGTAATACAGTTATTTTAGGCATAAAAATTTCCAGCACCAGTCCCACCACTCATGTGACCTTCCCAGTTTCCCACTAATCACCCCAGGTTGCCCCCTTAATAGGCACAAAAATTTTACTTCCTATATTTGTTACAACACAAATGGGATGATCAAAACCTAGATTAATAAAATTTAATCTGTGATCTTTATTATGTCTCAGAGTGGTATTAGTGAAGTCATTGTCTGAAGATTTGCCGGGTTGGTTGGTGCTACTTGAGCCTTCTGTGTTATCTGTCATTCATTGAGCATGGTGGTTTTTTATGCAACTTTTCCATCAGATTTGCTGTAATCCTACTGGGCTGAGAATATGGTGAAAGTGGGAAGTGTCCACGGCTGGGGAATCCAGGAGCTATGAAGATGGATCGGTTTGGTGTCTTGGCAACTTGATGAGTTTCATTTGTGGAGCTGGGCCATTTTTATGACAGAGGGTGTTGGGTGTGGCTGCGGGCTGTTGTACCTTTGGGTAGAAAGGGGAATCTGCTTAGCCCCCTTTACAGACGTTCCCAGACTTGTTATCCCGGACTGGTCTATGTGGGATGATTCAGCAGCAGCATGGTCATTTCAAGAACTGGGCCTTTCTCTGCCAGCAAGATAGTGGATGTGGACTGTGGGGTAGGGGTGGGGCAAGGGGGAACGCTTCTGACTGGTTCAGTAATGGGGTGTGTGTGTGGGCGGGGAGGGGATTCTGGGAGGGTTTGGGGGGAATCTGCCTGCCCTTATCTGCCTGCCCTTATTCTGAGAACACTCCATACTGGTCCCACTCAGAAAGATTCAACTGCTCATTCTTTTTGAGATCAGTTGTGGAACTGGGTTTGACAAGCACATTTTTAAGTTTTGTTATTGTAACTTTTGGATATGTGCTTTCAGTTTTGTTGGTTCTGGGGTTTCAATATAGTGTTACATGACATCTGTTCATCACCTATGTGTCTGGGGCCCTTCCCCATTACCCTCTATCTTTCTCTTTTTGCTTTGCCCTCTTCAGTTGCCTTACTCCTCTAGCTTTTTAATACTGGACTTTGTGGGATGGGAGGTATAGTACAGCGGGGAAGGTGTTTGTATTGCATGTGGCTTACTGGGGTTCAGTTTTCATTATCCCATGTTGTCCCCAAGCAATAGAAAGAGTGATTTCTGAGTGCAGAGCCAGGAGTAGTTTCTGAATATCAGAGTAACCCCTAGGTGTGGCTCATAAACAAGACAACAAAAAATAGGACTCTTTTGGGGGTCACACCCAGTGATACACAGGGGTTACTCCTGGCTCTTCACTCTGGAATTACTCCTGGCAGTGCTGGGGGACCATATGGGATGCTGGAAATCGAACCTGGGTTGGTTGTGTGCAAGGCAAATGCACTCCCTGCTGTGCTATTGCTCCAGACCCCCTTCCCCCTCAAAATAATAGGACTTTTCATTTGATGGGTTAATCTTGTCCCTTTCATGAAGAGGCAGAAAGCAGAATTAAGAGGAAATTAATGCTCTCAAAATCCAAGTATGAAGGTACCCTATCAAGAACTAACTAGAGTCTCTTATTTCTGAGAATGCCTATGAATACTATAATTTGTAAATTGTAATTCTGCCATAAAAAATCTCATCAAAGATGACAGACTATTTTTCTGTCATCATGTTGATAGAACTAAGTGAAGAATCAGTGCTAGTCCTAGGATAAAACAGTGAAATGAGGACATTTGCAACTTTCCTTTATAATTCCTTATTTGCAACTCTCCTTTTGAGGACATTTGCAACTCTTCTTTAAAAGTATGAGATCTTAGATTGAACATTATAAAGATAGATCACTCAAATTCTTAAATATAATAGACATGTCCATCTCTGTATTTATACTTATATTATTGGGTTTTGAGCCACACCCAGCAGTATTCAGGACTTACGTCCTGCTCTGCACTCAGGTCTTACTCCTGACTGGGTTTAGGAGGGGCCATATGGGTTGTTGGCTATCCAACCTGGGTCATTCATGTGCAAGTGCCTTACTTTTGGCCCTATCTTTTTGACCCTCTCTTTATTTTTATTTTGCTGAAACTAACAACAACAAAAAATTGAAATATTAAACACATATCCTTAAAATAGCAAACATACTTTTTAAGCATATATAAAATGTTGCCCTATTTAAGAACAATAATATTTAACTAGAGCTTACTTTTCATATAACCCCTATTGCAATGTAGAATGGATTCATATCAGATTTCCTAAGGTTCTCGTTCACTTTTCTACTAAGAGTCAGGATTTGAATGCAGGGAAACCAGTGGCAAGTACTCAGTGTTTTCTCTCTTCAAAGTGTTGCTCGTTGACCCTACAAAAGGGTTCAATGGCAAAATCATATGAAAAAGTCACTAAAATATAAAATGGAAAAAAATTTCAGCTAACTTGATGTTTAATTGAGTTATTTTAAACTGACCAATGAAGCAATCAACGCAAATTAACCCCAAATATTTTATTTCCATTTTTCCCCCAATGAGTAGAATGGAAAACACTCCTTTTTATTTCAAATAATGATGTTTAAATGTTTCACATTACAGTTGGTGGTTATTTCCTCTAGTGTGAAAATGAAATCCCATTGGTATGAGTTTACCGTGTTATATAGTGAAGAAAAAAGTGAAGTTTCATATTCAACACACACAATAGATGCCAGGCATGTACTGAGAACTCCACTGGCAATGGCTATTCACTCATTTAGAGCTAAACAATGTGATCATCATTAATAAACATTTGTGGAAGAGGAAAATGAACAAGGTTTATAGCTAGGGACATACATAAAGGAAGTATAAAATAAAAAGACACTGAAGATAAGAAATCTAAATCAATATTACAAATGTAGGACAAAGGTACGTACAGATAAATAAATCACCAGAAGACCTTCAAGAAGAATGCATGTTTGGTGAAGAAAAATGGACAGTTTCATAAATATATGTGAATTGGGAAGACAGGAAGGAAGATTATAAGCCCCCTGAGAGAAGTTGAAATGAATTCAATGACAGAAGAGGCAAATGTAGCAAGAAAAATGAATGACTTATTTGTTTTAGTGCTCATTGGGGACAGCTTGAAGTTGTACGAGAAAGTGAAAAGTTTCCCAGTGGGAGATGGCAAACTCCTAAAACCAGAGAACTGGAAAATCATTTACATAGGTAATATCTCATTATAATGAAACCTACAGTACCTTTAAATTGTCTTATTGGGACAGAATTTTGTTGGAATGATTTCAGGTGTGAAAGCCCCTGCAGAGGGGTAGATTTATAGATAATAGTCAATGGGTATCTGCACATTAATAACTATGGAGAATAA